CGGTACGGGCGTGACACCGAGGGTTGCCATCCGTTGCCGGTCACGAAAAAAGACAAAAAGGAAAAAAAAAAAGGGTTTTTTTTGTCTTTTTTTTTACTGACCGGTAACGGGATCGCAACCCTCGGTGTCGCGCCCAATGGGTTTTTTTGTCTTTTTTTTTTACTGACCGGTAACGGGATCGCAACCCTCGGTGTTGCCCCCGCACCGCGCTCACTGGCTGAGCGGGAACCGGTCTCCACATGGGATCTGAACCCTCAGAGGGAGCCTGGCTGAGCGGGAACCGGTCTCCACATGGGATCCGAACCCTCAGAGGGAGCGCAGCTGCGCTCCCAAGCGGCGCACTCTCCAGTGCGCCACCAGGCCAGCCCCACATAAAACGTTTTAAATAAATCTGTATGCTTTCCTCATGTTAATCTGTTACAGGTGCCTCAGCCATGAACCTAATGATGGCAAAGTCCTTTCTTTCTTCCCCTACATACTAGTCTTAATTCTTTTTTATTTCAAACATGTATAATATTTGTAATATTTTATAATACACTTCACATGAAAAGTACAAGTTTAGGTTGATTAGACACTAACAATTCTACTAAAAGAAACCTTTGATGAACATGTATTCTCTAGCTGTGCTGTCAAGAAAAATTCCTTTTTAATCCAGGCAACTGAAACCAGATTTGACAGTTGTAGAATGTGTTTGAAATGCTAATGAAAACAGAATTACTTCAGCCTTTCCTCAAACTAAGAGAGAAAAGGAGAAAAGGAGAGAAGGAGAGAAAGAGAGAAGAGGGGAGAGCGAGAAAGGTTCAAAATTCAGAACCAATGCAATACTCGTTTTATGTAGCAAATGCTGCACAGTATCATGAGAAATAACACTGCGTGCGGCCAGCTCTCAGAGCCTGCAGGCAGCAGGAAGCGATTTGTGCTACATCGTGAAGTCTGCAAGAGAATATCATATTAATATGGAGTATATTTTTGTTCCAACTGAGCCACATCTCCAAAGACAGGCCTTGACAAACGCAGCCTGTGTTAAGGCAGATGAGGGAGGGGCCTGAGGAGGGTCCCTGGACAGGTGCTGAGAACCCCTCACTCCCACCACCTGTCTCCCCGGTTTCCTGAAGGAGCCTGCGCTTCGGGGTTAAAATTCTCTGTGACCATCCATGACACAGGCAGAACGTATCTGAGCTTTGAGAAGCGTTCAAAGCTAAAATAGAACAGGCAAGAATTGACCTGTCAGGTCGTAAATAAGATTAAGACTCTACTGCTGATTCTGCTGAGCTAATTGGCTCATTTCTTTCCATCAACGTGAGTTGGTTTTGCCTAGGGCCACTACATGGACAAGCGCCACTATTTACAGACCCTCATTTGAAGATGGAACTTCCACAAAGCACATGTTCACATGCTGACAGGAGGGACATGAGCACACACAGTTCTGGCAAAAGGACCCGTAAGTACAACAAAGGAGGAGTCTTGCCAAGGAGACTGACTGGTCCACTTGTGTCCCTGGTCCCCCTCTCCGGGGATTTGGGAAGCTGCTGAGCATAAACCACACCCTGAATGCCTTAGGGACACTGGGGTTCTGACTTCCATTTTAGTCCAGCTAAAGTTTCTATTTTCCTTTTGTCTGTATCTTTTCCTCTTACTACTAAATATTTTCTTCCAGATTATCTTAGAATTTTAATTCTACATTTACTATTTACTTCATATTTCCTGGGTGCTTTCCTAAGCATTATGAAATTCAAGTTTAACCTCATAAATCCAGCTTGGGTCCATTTTTATCTTTTTGAGTTTTGAGTTCACGTACTTGTCATTTTAAGTATCCTAATCTTTCTACTTTTTTTTTTTTTTCCTTTTTTTACTGACCGGTACGGGATCGCAACCCTCGGTGTCGCGCCTGTACCGGGGACCAGCAACGGGATCGCAACCCTCGGTGTTGCGCCCGCGCCACGCTCAGCCAGTGAGCGGGAACCAGCCACCACATGGGATCCGAACCCTCGGCGGCGCCCGCCGCACTCCCAAGCGGCGCACTCTCCAGTGCGCCACCAGGCCGGCCCTAATCTTTCTACTTTTAATGCTTTCAGTGTTTCCCCATCCCTTGATTGAACACTTGAAGTTTTTAAAATTTTTTTCTATTCTTAACCTTTTAACATTTTTTTTTTCCTTTTTGTCTTTTCTCGTGACTGGCAACGGATCGCAACCCTCAGTGTCGCGCCCACACCGGACTGGACCGGCAACGGGATCGCAACCCTCGGCGTCGCCCCCGCACCTAGCTCAGCCAGCGAGCGGCCGGTCTGCATGTGGGATCCGAACCCTCAGCGGGAGCGCTGCCGCGCTTCCCAAGCGGCGCACTGTAGCAGTGCGCCACCAGGCCAGCCCCAACCTTTTAACATTTTTAACATTCCCCTCGTTTTGTTTTTTCGAGAAGTAGGGGAGGCTGGGATGGAGATCACTACTCTCATCCATTGAAGAGGGATATTTTTCTACTATACATTGACATAATTATGCATCTATATTGTGGAACATTTAGAAATGACAGAAGAGTGCAAGAAAGCAGTAAAATAAGATACATCCCCAAATAAAAATACTTCTCTATTTGTAAATCAAGTTATAATTGCAAATGCATATTCAAGACTTTTTACTCATTTTGCATTAAGGTTCTAATTTAAATATAACTAAAATAATATTTTGTCCACAAATACATCTACTTATTAACATCTTAGTACCTAGTATTTACTAAATTAGAAGGCTCACTTTTCTAGATATTTGAGTAAAATATGATTATTCTGCAAATAAGGTTCCAGTTGAGGTGAGTTAGTGCCCTAGTCTCCTTCCCCCGTTTTTTAGTAAAACAAAAGAAAGAAGTCAAATGATAAGCTAAATGCTTGATTCTAAAAGCCTTGGTGTACCTACCAGAATCTTCCACAGGTTCAGTTTTCACATTGATGGGGCCACAGCTGCAAGGAGAAGGGAGCCTGGTCAAGACAGGCAGGGTGGGGCCCGACCACAGGCACTAGGACATGCTGCACTCAAGTGCCCTGGCTCTCAATGCCATCCGACCCCTCCCCCATCAACTGAATGCAAAATTGCCTCAATATTAACATTAATGTTCTTAATAATCTCTTACAAAATTAAAGGTGTCACTGAGTGTAGTCTTCTAATTCCAAACATCCTTTGAAATAAAGAATTTATAACAAAATATTGAACAGTAACGTATTAACCCTTCATATTACACTTCAAATGCTGTAAGGAAGCCTTTCCATAGTCTAACAGCTCACACTTTGTGGTTAGATGTGGATTTTATTGTTTATTATTTATTCTTTACCTTTCATTTGGCAATATTATTGATCTCTCAGCATCTGTTACCATCACATGACCACCTGTGCAGGAATAAAAAGACACAAATTAGCCTCTTTCAGAACCTCGAAATAGGACTGACATTCAAAGGCATATAAATTGAAAACAAAGAGAAAACAGAACTCCCAGCTCATGGTCATCATGGAATAGTAGTGGGGGGAAGACAACAACTCAAAGCAGCCCCATGTTCTGGGGTGATTTGTGTGGGCAGAACGTGGGGGCTGGAGCATGGCTGCAGATCCCAGCCTTGCTGCTTACCAGCTGGGTGGCCTTGAGCAAGTCACTAACCCTTTCTCTGCCTCTGTTTCCTCATGGAAATGGTGCTTGTGTGAGGATTAACAAATACATGCAAAGTGATCAGAACAGTGCCTGGCACATCATAAGCACTAAATAAGTGTCAGCTGCCATTACTATTATTATTATTCTATAAACAAACATACAAGTTATCTGGGACAACAATCACCTGGTCACCTGCTACCTTCCCCCTGGCACCCCTCCTTTAATATGAGCTAAAGTACTACAGGAACTCACGATTGCTCCGGAAATAGTCTTTACTCTCTGATTAGTCCATGGCTCAAAAGAACCAGAGCCCTCCATACCCAGCAGTGTGCCTTGTGAACTGTGCAACCCCCACCTCCAGCCATCTCATTACTCTACCTATGTAATCTCGGCAAGACATCCTCTTTAGACCTGGTCTTTCATGAACAGCCACAGGCCGTTTCCAACTACATTCCAGAATAATAATTTGAGAAAATAAGAGGTGGGCATAGGCAGATCTTATGTAATCTCGGCAAGACATCCTCTTTAGACCTGGTCTTTCATGAACAGCCACAGGCCAAGGTTTCCAACTACATTCCAGAATAATAATTTGAGAAAATAAGAGGTGGGCATAGGCAGATCTTGAAATGCCTCTAGTGAGGCTACTTTTATGGGGGAGGTCCCTTCATCATTACAAGTTAAGGAGACTGTGATGAAATGCCTCTAGTGAGGCTACTTTTATGGGGGAGGTCCCTTCATCATTACAAGTTAAGGAGACTGTGAGGAGTTCTGGGTTCCGATCAAACCTCAGGCACTCTTCCAGAGGTTTCTGCCTGTTCATATGGAGTGAGATTCCCCATAGAACAACCTGTTGAGACCCTGATTATCCTGAGGGCCAGATCCTCCAGGAAGCCCTTCCAATCAAACAATTCTAACCCATTCCCACTGCTCTTGGAGACTTCCTCCAGCCATTCTGAGAGCACCACGGGTCACCCCTGGCTCTCTGTTAGACAGTCTCATTCCTTCTCCTAGTCCATGAGACTCAGAGGCGCAAGAACACATCCTAGATCCACTCCCAAACTCGACAATGCCTTTTCCATGGCTGGTGGTCAAAAACCACACAGTGACTTCTAACATAAACACACTCCCACGGACAAGGATAAAGTGGGTCCCACTGCCCTCCACAGTCTGGGTGCAGAATCTCACTGGAATGAGAGCTGGGAAGGAGAGCTGTGTCTCAGCTCTCTTGGCTGGGTGTGTCTTTCCCTGAGCTGCAAATCCCCTACAAACATCTGACCCCCCACCCTGGAATGTCAGAGGTTGCCTTCTCAAAGAGGAGAAAGCAAAGAATGTGCCAAAGCTTGCATATGAAGTAAGGAAAGCAGAAGTGGTTTAGCAGCTCAGTGCAGCCACCAAGCATAAGAAGCTGTCACTTACCCAGCTGACTCTCTGGACCTAGGAAAGGTCTGCAAGAAAACCAATACCATTACCCAGCATGAACACATAAGATAGTATTACACATCTGAAAAATCAACTTTTAAACGTAATAGGACATAATTAACAAACTAATTCAAATTAGCTGTCAGTTTATCTTTAAGTGAACTAACTGTCATAAGGAGGCAGAGCATGTCACCTGTTTATTACGAATGAAATCTCTGCTTTGTTCTCCAAAATCCATTTCAGGGTTACAAGATCGTAATTCTCAGGGTGTTGAAAGGCAACTCCTTCTGGAAGCCCCTGCACTACCACAGCCCCCTGGTCTTGTAGCATCTGCTCATAGGGAACAGGCACCATTGCTGTCGTCCCTAAGGCTTTACCTAGAAGAAGAGGCAAATGTCTTTACACAGCATAAGCATAAAACTCTCCTAGTCAATTTAATTTAATGTAATAAACAAACACAGGTGGTGACATTAGGCTTTGAACACATATTAAAAGCATAAAGTGCCCTATTTCTCTATAACCCAAGTTAATACAATTCCCAACCGGCCAAAATAAAAAATATATACAATGTTTTACCTTAAATCTTCACATAAGAAAGAGAAAATAATAGGTCTTTTTCTCCATTCTCTTGGAGGATGCACAATTTGGGGTACCTGCCCTGGCGTATCCAGGGCTGCAGAGAGCACCCCTTAGTTAGCTAGGCTGCTGACAAAAGCGCACGAGACCCCCAACACAAAGCTTAATTGTCACTATGTCACACCACACAAGTCAGGCCAATCTGCCTTCAGAAAAAGTGATAATGTCAACATGGCCTCACATCACAATCTGGAGCTATGTCAGTCTCTCTGCACTGGTTGGTGAGCCCAAAGTGCTGAAGTCCCATTTCTCATAGAGAAGTATGACCTAAGACCCCAAGATACCCTATGCTGGAGGTCCCCAAAGTCAAACACTCACAGGGATCAAAATGCGTGAAGCTATCTAGGAATGATAAACAAGGTCCCAAGACACTATTGTCCTTATATTGGAATTAAGTATAACACCTGCATAGTTATTTGGTTATCTAGTTTTCAAAACATTGTGTAGGTATTTTTTNTGACAACACCAAGTCAAGGGTTAAGATCCCCTTACCGGTCATCTTTTTTTTAAAAAAAGAATTCACCATAAAAGGAAATAGTAGTAGTTTAAGGAAAATTTATAACAGAAATCTTATTTGCTATGCAGTCGAAAAGTGACAATAATTGTGTAGGAAGACCATTCCTCTGAACACTTTCAAGACCAGGCCCCCAGTCTTCACTCCAAAAATTTTGAAACTGATTGTTTAATCAGGGTATAGTTAGGGCACAGAAATCACACAGTAATTTGAACAGGGAAAGTTAAAAAAAGAATCATTAACTAGATGACTTCTTGTTAATCTGTAACTACTAAGGGGGTAATAAGTGCTCTAAAGAATACAAAAGGAGGGCCGAGCCATCTCAAAAAGGACAAAAAAAAAAAAAAAAAAAAAAAAAAAAGAATACAAAAGGAGCAGGTCAAGGGACCAGCCACAAGGACTGGGCTGAGGCGGAGCACTCAAGGAAGGAACAAATCAGGAAAATGGTGCCCCAGGGCTGAGATCCAGACCTCTCTGGAGAGCATACAGACATGGTCTATAGGACACAAGATCTGCTGGGGTGCTGCAAGCTGCAGTGGATATGTAGGAACCTGCTCCCTGGGGGTGCCAGTAGAAATCGCTGGCAAGTTACCAAGAAGGTGCCTGTAAGACTTGCTGGGCACTGCATGGAAGCTGTCCTCTCAGGGGCTGGCAGAATTCTTTGGAAGTTGCCTGTAGGTTGATGCCAACAGAATTTGCTGGGAAGCCTCCTTCTGGAACTTTCCAGGAATTCTGCGGGACTTGCAGGGAAGCTGGCTAGGATACCAGTGGAAGTGACTGGGAGGCTGCATGTGGTAGAGGTCTCACTGAAACTCACAGGAGGTAAGTAAGTGCCGGGTATCCCAAATGCTGGTGGTCATAACGTGTTGCAGGCACGAGCAGATGAGAGCCCATAGGAAATAGGAAGAGAAGTTCCTTCCTCCCCCAGTATCCTCCCCGAGCCCTCTTCTGACCAAGGCAAATATTGTGCCAGCCCCTAAGGGGCAATATTTACACAGTCCTGCTCCAATATCACAAAGCAGGGCAAAGAAGGGTGGACTTAGAGTACAGAGGCAATAAATCAAGAACTGTCACACTGAAAACTGTCACAGAGCAATTTCTGTGCAATGGAGTTATATTCTAAGGTTGAACATAATGCAAAAATTGTGCATGGGCAAAATTATACCTGAAAACCCTCAGTCACAATTGAGTTCAGACTATATAGTTCTGTGGATACAATTCTGCAAAGCAATTCTTAGGCACATTTACATTTCAGACCAGTAAGTTAGGCTGAAAGAAGGAGGCAGATGAAAACCCATGTGTGTTTGCTCATTCAAACAATTTTGGCTTACAATTAAAGTAAGAGGTGAACAGAGTGGTAGAGAATGGACAACACTGCCTGCAAGGCTTGCTCAAGGGGTCAGTAAACTACAGCCTGAGGGATAAATCTTGCCCACTGCCTTTCTTGGTAAGAGTGGTGAACTACAAATGGTTTTTACATTTTGAAATGGTAAAAAAAAATTCAAAAGAAAAAAATCACTTCATGCTACATAAAAACTACATGAAATTCAAATTTCAGTGTCCATAAATAAAGTTTTGTTGACAATACTCATTCATTTACATTTTGCCTATGGCTACCTTTGCACCAAAACAGCAAGTTGAGCAGCTGTGGCAGAGACCATAACAGCCCAGAAAGACGAAAATATTTACTTTCTGTCTCATTACAGGAAAAAAGTTTGACAGTCCCTGGTTTACTCTATATAGTTTTAATATTAACCTATGACCCTAACATGAGTTGATCAGAAATTTCTGTTGTTGTTGTTTTGAGGATTAAATTACTGAATAACCCACAGGGAGCTGGTTTCTAACTTGAGAGTGAAGGTGAGTGTGTTCTGATGCAACTCCACAGTAATTTTTCCTTACTACCAAACAACTTCTAAAAAAACAAACATCACATATTTAAGAATCACATCCAGCATTCCAGTTTCAGAAATGGCAGAGAAGCATGTATCTACCAACCTAAGCTCTGAACAAAACAGTAAAATCAACTATTTAAAGGCATTGAGAACAACCAAAAATAGGCGGAAACTGGAGGGAATGCTATCCTTAAAAGGATGGAGGCAGGGACCAGCCCGTGGCTCTCTTGGGAGAGTGTGGTGTTGATAACACCAAGGCCACAGGTTCGGATCCCTATGTAGGGATGGCTGGTTAGCTCACTTGGGAGAGCCTGGTGCTGACAACACCAAGTCAAGGGTTAAGATCCCCTTACTGGTCATCTTTAAAAAAAAAAAAAAAAAAGAATGGAGGCATTAATACTGGGTGACATTCACAATTAGCGGCTTTTTTCCTGTAAGGACTCCTTAGTTCCTGTGGTACACACAGAAATAGAGCTCAACCAAAAGCAGCAGTCTCAGTGAAGTGAGGAAATCTAAGTGGGAGGTCAAGACTGACATAGTGGGGCCGGCCCAGTGGCGCACTGCTACAGTGCGCCGCTTGGGAAGTGCGGTAGCGCTCCCGGTGAGGGTTCGGATCCCACATACAGACCGGCAGCTCACTGGCTGAGCGAGATGTGGGAGCAACACCGAGGATTCCGATCCCATTGCCGGTCCCGGGCCGGTACGGGCGCGACACTGAGGGTTGCGATCCGTTGCCGGTCACGAAAAAAAAGACAAAAAGGAAAAAAAAAAAAAAAAAAAAAGACTGACATAGTGGATAGAAACTGGGGGGAAAAATCCTGGAAAAGAGCAAGTCACAGAGGTAGGAGCTCCAGTATCTTCATATGAACTTCTTGTAAATTCTTGGCTGTCCCCAAAACTATGCAAGCACAGGCGAAGACTCTAAGGAAATGCAACATTTGGAAGCTAAAGAGCTGAGCAAAGTGCTTACTTCAGCAGCACATGTACTAAAATTGGAACAATACAAAGAAGATTAGCATGGCCCCTGTGCAAGGATGACATGAAGATTCATGAAGTGTGCCATATGTTTTGCTGAACTTTCAGAAGGAGAGAACAGACCTATAGTTAGTAAAGGTGGGAACAGGGGTGGTTAGGGAGTAATTGGGTAAGGGACACAAAGAATAGTTATAATATGCTAATAATACTGATTTAATCATCACATACTGTACACAAATACTGATAGTTAACTCTGTACCCCACAAATATGTATAATCAATTATGCTTCAATTCAAAAAATAAATTAAATTAAAAAAAAAAAGCTGAGCAAAGATTTAAACAGTTAAGTGGTGCTAGGAAGACAGAGTTTAAAATTCAAGTCCTGCCAAGGTAGAGAAGCTTGTCACACACCTTGTAAAACCCAAGAAGAGACACACCTTAGGAGTAAGGGCCACCTTCTAAGACTAAGAATGATGCCCTAGGATAAAGGGCAAAACCAAACTAGACTTGTCCTAACATGGTCCACACAGGGTCATGGTGATCTGCCAGTAACTTAACTGCCTGCCAGAACAAACATATCATGTATAATACCCAGTATAAAATAAAAAAGTAATACAAATGTGAAACAGAAAAATGTGACCCATGATCAAGAGAAAAAAGTCTATAGAAGCAGACCCACAAATGACCCAGATGTTGAAATTATCACTAAGGACTTAAAACAACTGCTATAAATACATGAAATAATTTAGAGGGGTGATGAACAGAATAGATGAGTATGAGGGCAAAAGAGATAATACAAAACTTTCCATGAACTCCTGATATACAAGGAATCCCAATGGAGAAATATAAATATGAAAAAAAGGAAGGAAGAAAGGGAAAAAGAAAGAAGAAAATGAAATTACAGAAATAAAAAATAATCTGAATTCTGCAATAAAATTTCACAGGATGGACTTAACAATAGTACACTGGATACAGCAAAAGAATCAGTGACGTCAAAGAAAGGTCAATAAAAATGATCCAGTCTGAAGCTTTTAGAGAAAAAAGAATGAAAAAAAAGGAACAGAGTCTTAATGAGAAGTGAGACAATATCATAATTTCTTCCATATGTGTAAACTAAGGGCTGGACAGTTAGCTCATCTGATTAGAGAACAGTGTTGATAACACCAAGGTCCAGGGTTTGGATCTCCTTACCAGCCAGCTGCCTCCAAAAAAAAAAGTGTAAATGAAGAAGAGAATGAATCAGAAAAAGCATATAAAGAGATAATTGCCAAAAATGTCCAAAACTGACAGAGGCATTAACTTGCAGATTCAAGAAGTTCCAAAGAACAAGCAGAGTAAAAACAAAGAAGACAACATGTAGAAATAACATGGTCAAACTGCTGAAAACCAAAGATTAAACAGAGCTAGAGCTAGAGGGAAAAAATTCTTAAAAAGAGCTAGAGAAAAAGATACATTACCTTCAGAGGAACAAAAATAAGAATTCTAAACTGACTTTGTATCTGAAACAGTGAGAGCCAGAAGATAATGGAATAAAATTGTTAAAGTATTGAGAGAAAAAAAAAATTGTCAAGGTAGAATTCCATATTAAGTAAAAATATTCTTCAAAAAGGAAGGCAGAAAAGTGATGTCAGCAAGATGGCAGACTAGGAAACAGCAGGCCCTCCTACCCCACAGAGGCACTGGACTGACAATAATATACAGACCAGAACCTCTGTGAGAATTCTAGAGACAAGTTGAGAAGCTACAGCACCTGGGCTATTGTAAAACCAAAAAGGGATTCCAGCACAAGGGGTAGGAAAATTCTCATGCTCATCTGTACCCCTCCCTCCGTGTGCATAGCATGAGACAATTGGGAGGAAACCCCCCATATTAAAGCTCCTCCTTCGGATGGAAAAAAAGAGTGGAATGGACCACTCACCCAACATTCTGGCTTGTCTGGGGGATACTTGAGACACTGGTTTCTGTCTCACCTGACTTAGAGCACTGATAGGATTGGCACCAGAGTTTGGAAGCTGCTGTAAACAGAGGCAAGTGACCATTAGAGCTGCAGTTCCACAAACAGATGTCAGGGAGAACAACACCTGAAAAGGTTTGAGAAGTCCCAGAACCTCCAGCTGATTAGTGAAGGCCTTACCCTGCACAAAGCCAGTACACAAAGACTGGGAAAGGTGGTTGTGTTTTCAAATGCCCAAATCTCAGAAAAAAATTATAAGGCATATAAAGAAGCAGGGAAACATGGCCCAGTCAAAAGAGTAAAATAAAATTCAAGAAACCAACCCTAAAGAAACACAGAGGTAGGAGCTGCCTGACAAAGAATTTAAAATAATTGTCATAATGATGCTCAATGAGCTAAAAGAGAACATAAATAGACAAGTACATGAAAACACATAAACTATGCATGAACAAAACAAGAATATTGACAAAGAGATAGAAGCTATTAAAAAGAACCAAACAGAAATTCTGGAGCTTAAAGATACAATAACTGGACTAAAAAAACAAACAAAAAAAAACCTAAAAAAAAAAAAATAACTGGACTGGAACAATTCATTAAACTATGAATAGCCCTATATCTGAACAATTAGCATGCAACTATGAATCTTTAAAAAAATTGTAATTAAATTTCAATGATTAGAAATTCAATTGACATCTGACGTTAATGAATTGAGAATACCCTTCTTATCAATTACATAGTCACTGTATTATATAAAGATTTCTTCTCTTTTCAATCTGTCTTCTTGATAATGGAGACCCAAATTTAGAATCTTGGAAGTTAATCTTAATCAACCTATCACTCAATCTCTTCTGCACCCCACCCCCCATATAACAGGGTACTTCAAAAAGTTTGTGGAAAAATAGAATTAAAAAATATGAATCTTTCCATTAAATTTTTGAAGACCCCTCGCTCATGCATGCATGTGTGTGTATCCTTCTCCAAGGGTTATAAGATTATCCTTGGAGATATCTATCACCACACACACACCCTTATACCCTCTGACAAATCTTCCTTGTTTTTCTTTTTTCCTTTCTTGGTTCCAGGCCATACTAAATTGTTAACTCAGTATTTTGTAGATAAGCTACAGCGGTAGAAATCATAATCATAAAAGGTATAGGTTTTATGCCCTAGTGTAGTTCCCTGACACATGGCCACATATGCCCACTAGTACTCCTGGACACTCACATCTTCGCATATTGAAAGCTCTGAAAGAGCCACAGTAAAAGAAAGGAAAACAAGAATAACTGTACAATGGTTATTAACAAAGACTAATACTTGATCCCTGGAAGAGAGTTTTCCCTTTCCTTTGGGAAGAATTAAAGTGAGAGTATTTTATAAAATGTAGGTTTATTTTAGGAATTAAAGACAATTTTCTCTATGTTCTTCAAATTTATTCTACAAAACCAGAGTACTCCCGAGAACATAATACAAAATATATTGACCATTTTTCCTGGACTCTTCATTTGGTATGCTGAGTCAAAGGAGATGTGTCAGAACCATTTGTAGGATAATGTTTATGATACGTTAGAAGAAAACATTACATACTTCTTGCCCACAAACATTTAAAAATTTATGAAATACAAAAGATAAAATCATGAACACCTACAGTATTTTGCAAAATCTTTCTGTAAATCCTTTCTGGCATTGACAAAAGCGCATCCTCTCTCGGTTCCAACAACAAACACGTCTTTTTCATATACTGCAATGCAGGCCACTTCTGCCTTGGACTTGGCCAGTTCTTTACACTGAAATAGAGACAAAAAATGATGCAATCTTTTTTGTTTGTTTGTTTTTCTTTGGTGGTACAGAGATCCAAACACACTATAACACCATGCTGTAACCAACTGAGCTAACCTGCCAGCCCCCAAATGATGTATTCTATACAAGGGCAGATTCAGAGTTTCTGAGGCCTGAGAGGTCTGCTTGAAGAAAAGAATACAAAATTCAGTCCAAAAAGAAATATTCATTTAGAGTCACCAAAAAAACCCCACAAAAAAACAACTATCAAGCAAATACCATAAACATCGTAAAACCCAGAGAAGAACATATTGTCATTCACTGCTTGACACTCCTCTCCAATGTGCCTTTTTTCTTACATTTTCAGATGTAGACTCTGACTGCTTCTTCATATGACAACAATTTTATAATATTTTCTATGGAGTGAATAGATAAAGATGCTTGACACTCCTCTCCAATGTGCCTTTTTTCTTACATTTTCAGATGTAGACTCTGACTGCCTCTTCATATGACAACAATTTTATAATATTTTCTATGGAGTGAATAGATAAAGGTGCCTCCATAAAACTGATTTGCTTAGGATTTATTTCATTGTTTTTGATATATCTCAGCCAACAATGTATATGGAAGTTACATGTAGACAAGGCCCCTGATTTTCGTTTCAATCTGTCTTCTTGATAATGGAGACCCAAATTTAGAATCTTGGAAGTTAATCTTAATCAACCTATCACTCAATCTCTTCTGCACCCCACTCCCCATATAACAGGGTACTTCAAAAAGTTTGTGGAAAAATAGAATTAAAAAATATGAATCTTTCCATTAAATTTTTGAAGACCCCTCGCTCATGCATGCATGTGTGTGTATCCTTCTCCAAGGGTTATAAGATTATCCTTGGAGATATCTATCACCACACACACACCCTTATACCCTCTGACAAATCTTCCTTGTTTTTCTTTTTTCCTTTCTTGGTTCCAGGCCATACTAAATTGTTAACTCAGTATTTTGTAGATAAGCTACAGCGGTAGAAATCATAATCATAAAAGGTATAGGTTTTATGCCCTAGTGTAGTTCCCTGACACATGGCCACATATGCCCACTAGTACTCCTGGACACTCACATCTTCGCATATTGAAAGCTCTGAAAGAGCCACAGTAAAAGAAAGGAAAACAAGAATAACTGTACAATGGTTATTAACAAAGACTAATACTTGATCCCTGGAAGAGAGTTTTCCCTTTCCTTTGGGAAGAATTAAAGTGAGAGTATTTTATAAAATGTAGGTTTATTTTAGGAATTAAAGACAATTTTCTCTATGTTCTTCAAATTTATTCTACAAAACCAGAGTACTCCCGAGAACATAATACAAAATATATTGACCATTTTTCCTGGACTCTTCATTTGGTATGCTGAGTCAAAGGAGATGTGTCAGAACCATTTGTAGGATAATGTTTATGATACGTTAGAAGAAAACATTACATACTTCTTGCCCACAAACATTTAAAAATTTATGAAATACAAAAGATAAAATCATGAACACCTACAGTATTTTGCAAAATCTTTCTGTAAATCCTTTCTGGCATTGACAAAAGCGCATCCTCTCTCGGTTCCAACAACAAACACGTCTTTTTCATATACTGCAATGCAGGCCACTTCTGCCTTGGACTTGGCCAGTTCTTTACACTGAAATAGAGACAAAAAATGATGCAATCTTTTTTGTTTGTTTGTTTTTCTTTGGTGGTACAGAGATCCAAACACACTATAACACCATGCTGTAACCAACTGAGCTAACCTGCCAGCCCCCAAATGATGTATTCTATACAAGGGCAGATTCAGAGTTTCTGAGGGCTGAGAGGTCTGCTTGAAGAAAAGAATACAAAATTCAGTCCAAAAAGAAATATTCATTTAGAGTCACCAAAAAAACCCCACAAAAAAACAACTATCAAGCAAATACCATAAACATCGTAAAACCCAGAGAAGAACATATTGTCATTCACTGCTTGACACTCCTCTCCAATGTGCCTTTTTTCTTACATTTTCAGATGTAGACTCTGACTGCCTCTTCATATGACAACAATTTTATAATATTTTCTATGGAGTGAATAGATAAAGGATTTAATATTTCCTCCAACATGGTTGCTTACATTTTTATTATTGATCATAGGAATGCATACAGCATGAAAACTCACACACAGATACATTTGGTGTTCATCGTATGACAGGTTTATACCCTACAAGAAGTCTGATAAATTCTACCCCAAAAAACAAATCCTCTGTTTACAATTTTACCAGTCAATGATTGGGAGAATTTTCCAGAGTAGCTTCTGCCTCTGTACATTTAAAACCTATTTCTCTTCTACCAGCTACAAACGTCTAGAGTTGAGCACTATGGCAACACATTTATACCTCAATACAGCCTACAGCTTTGAACCCTGACATCATGGCACTGGAGAAGTTGACACTGTGGACTGGAAGAATATGCCTGGAAACCATTTCTACACTGGGATTTCTAGCAGTAACTTACCCATACACAAAAACAACAGCAAGCCACATAACAACACTAAACTAAAACTAAATGGATATCCAACTCAGCTTCCCCTTACTGAGACCCCAAAGATGTCTGTATCTACTCCAACATCATCTGACACAGGGGATTGTAGGAGGAAGAATAATGGCCCCCAGAGATGTCCATGTCCTAATGCCCAGAACCTGTGAATATATTACCTTAATGGCAAAATGACTTGATAGATATGATTACATTAAAAATCTTGAGATAGAAAGATTATCCTGGATTATTGGTGGGCCCAATGTAGTCGCAAGGGTCCTTACAAAGAAAAGAGAGAGATGTGACAATGGAATCAGAGTGATGCCATTGTTGGAAGGGGGCCACAAGCCAAGGAATGAGGGTTTCCTCTAGCAGCTGGAGAATACAAGGCACAAATTCTTCCTGGGAGCTTCCAGAAGGAATCTTGACACCTTGACTTTAGGCCTGTAAAACTCAGTTTTTGACTTATGACCTCCAGAACTGTCCGATGGTAAATTTGTACTGTTTAAAGCCACTAAGTTTGTGATAATTTGTTACAGCAGCCATAGGAAACTAATATAAGGACTGAGGCAGAAAGAAAATCAGAGTGGAAGGAGACAACAACTTTAACAGATTGTGGTTAATAGAATATCTTTCTTTAGCACATTTTACAAAAACGTGCACATATGGGTAGGACCTCTCCGAGACCATGGCAGGGGCCAGTGCAAAGGAAAAAGCTGGAAGCTTAGCTTCATGGCAAATCTACCTCTGTTTATGTCGAATGAACCAAAAATTCAATACAATCTATCCAAAATATATAATCTGGTATCAGGTGAACTCATAGATTTTTAGCCTTACTTAGGTCATCCTTAGTAGACAAGATCTTTTAAAAGGAGTATACGGGGACTCTCTGTACTACCTTTGCTGCTTTTCTGTTAATTTAGAAAGTATTGCTAGAGCCGGCCCGGTGGCGCACTGCTACAGTGTGCTGCTTGGGAGCGCGGCGGTGCTCTGGTGAGGGTTCGGATCCCACATACAGACCGGCCGCTCACTGGCTGAGCGAGGTGCGGGCGCAACACCGAGGGTTGCGATCCCGTTGCCGGTCCCAGTCCGGTACAGGTGCGACACTGAGGGTTGCGATCCGTTGCCGGTCACGAAAAAAGACCAAAAAAGGGAAAAAAAAAAAAAGTATTGCTAAATAAAATTCACTAAAAAAATTAAAACCCTTTGGTTGCTAGGCGCTGGAGATTGGGGGGAATGAGGGCTTAGTACTTAATGCATGCAGAGTTTCAGCTTGAAAAGCTGAAGATGAAAAAGTTCTGGAGATGGATGTTTGTACAACAATGTGAATGTACTTAATGCCACTGAACTGTAAACTCAAAAATGATTAAAATGGCAGTTTTTATGTTATATATATTTTACCACAATAAGGAAAAAACCTCTAGGGCCAGCCCGGTGGCGCACTGCTACAGTGTGCTGCTTGGGAGCGCGGCGGTGCTCTGGTGAGGGTTCGGATCCCACATACAGACCGGCCGCTCACTGGCTGAGCGAGGTGCGGGCGCAACACCGAGGGTTGCGATCCCGTTGCCGGTCCCAGTCCGGTACAGGTGCGACACTGAGGGTTGCGATCCATTGCCGGTCACGAAAAAAGACCAAAAAAGGGGAAAAAAAAAAAAAGTATTGCTAAATAAAATTCACTAAAAAAATTAAAACCCTTTGGTTGCTAGGCGCTGGAGATTGGGGGGAATGAGGGCTTAGTACTTAATGCATGCAGAGTTTCAGCTTGAAAAGCTGAAGATGAAAAAGTTCTGG